TAGGTGGCAGCCTTGGCTGCAGCGCTCATGAGTTGGTGGAATTCAGGATCCAATGAGGAGGGAGCAGGACTGTAATTGGCCTTGTAACCATGGACTTCAGGAGGGCTGACTTTGGCCTCTTCAGGGACCTCCTCGGAAGAATTCCATGGGCTAGGGCTCTAGAAGGAATGGGGATCCAAGAGAGCTGGTTAGTTTTCAAGCAACACTTCCTCCACGCTCAGCAASAGTGCATCCCTATGAGGAAGAAGTCAGGCGGGGGAGGGGGCAGGAGGCCTGCATGGATGAACAGGGCAAAAACTGGCAAAACTCCAGCAGAAGAAAGCAGTGTACAGAATGTGGAAGAAAGGACAGGCCCCTTGGGATAAATACAGGAACATTGTCAGGGAATGCAGGGATGCTACAAGGAAAGCTAAGGCATGCTTGGAACAAAATCTGGCAAGGGATATTAAAAATAGTATCTTCTTCAAATATATCAGTGGGAAAAGGAAGGTCAGGGAGAACGTGGGTCCACTGGTGAATGGGGTGGGTACCCTGGTTACGAAAAACACGGACAAAGCAGAGCTGCTGAATGCTGCCTTTGCTTCTGTGTTTGTCAGGGRCAGCCCTCTAGAATCCCAGGCCCTAGGGACAAGAGAAGAAGCCTGGAGAGAGGAAGACTTGACCCAAGTAGAGGAAGAGTGGGTCAGAGAGCACTTAGGGCAACTTGATACCAAAAAATTCATGAACTCTGATGAGATACGCCCCAGAGTGCTATGTGAGCTGGCAGATGTTATAGCTAAGCTGCTCGCCATCATCTTCAAAAGGTCCTGGAGAATGGGGGAGGTGCCTGAGGAGTGAAAGAAAGCCAATGTCACCTCAGTCTTCAAAATGGGCAAGGAGGACCCAGGCAACTACAGGCCAGTCAGTGTCATCTCCATCCCTGGGAAAGTGATGGAACAGCTCATCCTGGATGTTGTCTCCAAGCACATGAAGGACAAGAAGGTGCTCAGGAATAGTCAGCATGGTTTTATCAAGGGGAAATCATGCTTGTCTAATCTGATCGCCTTCTATGATGGAATGACTAGCTGGATAGACAAGGGGAGAGCAGTGGATGTCATCTATGTGGATTTTARCAAGGCTTTTGACACCATCCATCACAAAATCCTCCTGGGAAGCCTCTGGAGGTGTGGGATAGATGAGTGGACAGTGATGTGGATTAAGAACTGACTGCATGGCAGAGCTCAGAGGGTGGTGATCAGTGGCACAGAGTCCACTTGGAGGCCTGTAGTTAGTGTCCCCCAGGGGTCAGTCCTCGGTCTGGTCCTGCTCAACTTATTCATCAACTACCCGGATGAAGGGATGGATGCTCCCTCAGCAAGTTTGCTGATGATGCAAAACTAGGAGGAGTAGCTGATTCCCTAGAGGGCTGTGCCACCATCCAGAGGGACCTGGACARACTGGACAACTGGGTGGTTAGAAATCTCATAAAGTTCAACAAGGCCAAGTGCAAGATCCTGCCCTTGTGGATGAATAACCACAGACACCAGGACAGGCTGGGGACTGACCTTTCTGGAGATTAGCCCTGCAGAGAGGGACCTGGGCGTCGTGGTGGATGAAAACTTGACCATGAGGCAGCAGTGTGCTCTGGTGGTGGCCAATGGGATCCTGGGGTGCATTAAGAAGAGCGTCTCCAGCAGGTCAAGGGAGGTGATCGTCCCCCTCTATGCAGCCCTGGTGAGATCACATCTGGAGACTGTGTCCAGTTCTGGGCTCCCTTCTAACCTTAAGGGTTTCATGATTCTATGATTCTTCTTGAAGTCATTTCCGGGCACATGAAGAATAAGATCTTGCAGGAGGGGAGCCAGAAGTGACAAGGGTCAGGTCCAGGAGGGCAGGTGTTAGGGGAGGGAAAATGGTGGAGTGGGAAGCATGGCCTTGAGGAGGGGGACAAGGGAAGCAGAGAGGCAAGTGGGTGGAAAGGCAATGAAGCTGGTGAAGGAGCTGAAGCACAGACTTTATGAGGAGTGGCWGAGGGAACTGGAGTTTTTTACTTTGGTGAAGAGGAGGTTCAGGGACACCCTTCAGGGGAGACCTCTATAACTACCTGAAAAGAGGTTGTAGTGAGGTGGGAGGCTATCTCTTCTCCAGAGTAACTACCAACAGAACAAGAGGAAATGGCCTCAAGTTCCATCAGGGGAGGCTCAGGTTGGATACTGGGAAATTTCTATACAGAAAGAGTAGTCAAGCATTTGAACAGGCTGCACAGGGAAGTGACAGAGACAGTGTCCCTGGCACTGTTCAAGAAATGTGTATATGAGGCACTTAAGGACATGGTTTAGCATGCACAGTAGGGATGGATTTATGGTTGGGCTCAATGATCTTGATGATCTTTTCCAACCATAATGATTCTAAGAAATTCTAAGATGTTTGGAAGCAGCCAGCACAAATTTACCAAGGGCAAATCATGCCTGACCTGATTGCCTCCTGAGAKGAGATGAGAGATGACAGTTGTATGGACACGGGCCAGGCAGTGCATGTTGTYTAGCTTGATGTTAGCAAAGTCTCCTATAGCAAATTCACGTACCATATTAAGTTGGGAGCAGTATTTGATAAGTTAGAGGGCAGCATTTAGGAAGGATCTGCTGAGGCTGGAGGAATGGGCTGGAATGAACTTCCTGGCATTCAGCATAGGCAAGTGTTGTGGCCTGTGCCTGTCCTGGGGTGAACTCATTCTGCAGCACTGGGGCCAACTGCAGCATAAACAGCCTTGGAGACCTGGGTCCCTTGCAGCAAAGAAGGCCAACCACATCCCAGGCTATGTTAGCACAATTGCAGCCACTTGGCTCAGTGAAGCGCTGCATCTGAGACTGAAGACTGGTCCTGCTTGGAGTCTCCAATGGAGTCCAGTYTGGAGATTCCCAGTGCAGGCGAGACACCAACATGCTGGAGCAAGCCCACAGGTGGGCTAAAAAGCTGGTGGCGACTGGACCCAGGATGCTGGAGAAATGCTGTGGGAGTTGGTCTCCTCCAGTGAGGAGGAGGAATATTTGGGTAGCCCCTAGAGCTGCTTGCATTTGCCTTCTGGAGAGCGGGGGGTGCAGAGCAGAGGGAGCCAGACCCTTCCCAGAGGTAGGAAGTGCTGAACAGATACTTCCTACCACAGAGGAAGAGGCAAGAGCTGAACAGAGGTTGGGACATGGGAAATTCTAACATGATATTAAGGGGAAAAAAAACTATGAGGAAGGACAAAGTCTGGAGCAAGTAGCCCTGAGAGCCTGTTTTCTTGGGGTAGTCATTACCATTTACTCCAAGGCTTGTATTAATACATACATGCACCCTTTGTCCTTGCAGGATACTTCAGCTTTATCTTCTGAAATTTCTACAGGGCCCATAGCATTTTGTTGTTATTAGCAGCTCTATGAGAATGACAGGGTTCTGAACTGAAAATGTAGTAAAATGGACAGGTGTGGAATGAAGCTGAACAGTTCAACATTAGGAGTTTCAAATGAGTTGTCTGAAATGCTTTGTGGCTCTGGAAAGGCAGGGCCCCTAGGATACAAGCCCCTCCTTGGGGAGTAGAATTCATCTGGAAAATAGTTCTCAAATGTTCCTATGGCAAACAAATTTGTCTTGCCTTCCCAATTATTCTTCCTTTTTTGAGTTAGGTATCTGGGGTGTAATCCTGACTTTCCTGAATCCGCTTTTGATGTCAGGATAATCAGAGCTTTACTTTTTTTTTAGGAGATTTTGAAATACTTATGAAAGAGGATTACATTTTAATCAACCAATACACATATGACAATTGTATCTTTTCCAGTTAATGACTTTATGACAAAAGAAAATGAGACTAAAGAACTGATCATAAAATGTGCGTGTATATATATGCTATTTATRTATAGAAAATGTAGGTAGATCTGACATACCTTCATATGTGTATGATGTGTATATATGCATATATCTGCACAAACATATTCAAAAAGGCAAAAATGTTGTCCCAGATAAGTGGAGTCATGCTTCAATGACATCTCTGGTTAGTGAATAGCCTATTTCGTATAGAAGGAGGTAGCTACTTATATCTATACCTAGGTGATAGGTGTGCTTTTAAGCTCTCYGATGTGCATATGGTAGTGATTTTTTTTTTCCTCTCACTGACAGTGATTTTGTTATTGCTGTCTTTCATCTGCCTAATTTTACAGATGTGCTGAAGTACCCAAAATAAATAAGAGCAATCAGAGAACCACAGGATCTGCAAGATAAAGTGGATGCTTACCTGTTAGTTTTACCATCTGCTTTATTTTGGACCAAATACCTGTGTAGTCAGTCCAAAACAGGAGTATGCATTTCTTTTATTATCCATGCAGCCTGACTCTCAACTAATTAGATTTTTGTTATTTTATTTCAACTCTTTACAAATATGAATTAGGTAATTAAAAGTCCCCTAGAAAATTTTAACACCTGTTCTATGCCTCAAACATTGCTCAAAAATACAAAAAGCAATGAAACTTTATTATATTGAATAATTCATTATTATTTTAATGGAACGAGTTACACCATATTTTGCTTTTTTATGTTATAGGGAAGCTGTTTACATCTCAGAGCTGACTGCTGCTGGCTCTAATTATTACAAATTATGTGACAACCGTAACAGCAACAGAAGGAAAAAAAAAAAAAAAGAAGACTTTTGCTTGAAAATAATGTTTCCACGTTGAAACTAGGAGTTACTAGTGGCTACTTCTAAACTGATCATTTCAATTGGCTCTACTYCATCAACCACAAGGAAAAACACCTGGCAAGCTCCTTGATCTCAGCCAACTCTTGTTAACCTTTTGGCCTTCACAATAACYATCAGCAGGCACCAATTCAGTGTTACTAATAAACTGGCATTATAACTTCCACCCACTAATAACATCTTATTGCTCTTCAGTATTAAATAAAAGGAAATGATCTGTTTAATTATAGTCAAAGAATTTTTGCAATGCTGTGCTGCCTTGGATGGTGAATACTGCATAATAATAATAATGAAATGTATTTAGGGACATAGCTACATGAACTGATTGCTACTGAGGTAAGCTACAAAGACAAGAGCTACTGTATAACATCTTGCATTTATGCTTTTTGCCTATAATAAATGTATCTCACCTTATTTGTCTGTGATGCTGAGATAAACTAGGGATAGTCTTTTCAAAAATAAGCGTAGGCAGTTGTAAGCAGTGTCTTATCATAGATTTTTTTCACTTATATTGCTGCTCCCCTTAATCTTTCCACCTTATTGGTGATTCTTAGCTATTTTCCCCCCTCTCTCTCTGTTAGTAAAGAAGGCAAGGAGAACCTGCTGACTGAGAAGACTTTGACAAACATTACAAAAACAGGATAGGTGTGGAGGCATTATGTGAGCTTTACTTCAGYTGAAGTTTACCTTTCTTGGATTTGTAAGATCAACTTGTTTTCAGAATTTTATTTTGCTATTCCTCTCTTGTCCTGCAGGGTGATCCTTTAAAACCCAGTTCCCTATCTGCTCTTGCCTATGACCTAGTACATACTGAATCAAATCTTTCTTTGCATAGTTTGCACTACTTCATTGCACTTTATTGTATTAAAGGTTGTTTAGAGGGGGTGTAACTTGGCCTGTTACCATATCACCTACTGTCTTGAAGAGGACTCCTCTGGAAGAAAGTATGGGTGAACACCTGAGATCTCTGGGAGCAAAAAAGCAAAGCGTGCTAGCTACTTCTATATTTGTTTCTCACTCCAGGTCTTTTACATGTTACGATACTATTGCTTTTCCCCATATCTGCATTGCACCTTTCTAATGAGTACTGTGAAGGTGTTGTTGACTTCGATATGTGCCTAAAAAAATGACTCAAAGAGAATATCTGTGGTTGAATTACAGAAGAAGTGAGATTGYCAATAAATAAATCCTGTTGTGTTATTCTACGTGCAGCAAGGGGGATAAGCTGGGAGTAGCTACTGGGGAGTAGCTAATATTGTAATTTTTTTGTTTGTTTTGTTTTTCTTATATTCTATTTTACCATCCAGTTTATCTTTAGGGATTTACTTGAGAACAAACAGAAGGAATAGAAACTTTGCTTTCTGGTGTGGCTCCTTCTTTGCTTTATCTTCCATTTCTTACTCAGATACCTTGTATACTTTATTACAAATAGAATGAGCTGGATATTAAAGCCCAAATAACACACTTGATTCTCCTCCGATATCAAGTTTACATTTAGAATGGGAAATAAGGATATTACTTCCTTGATTGCACTGCAAGTGGAAGAAATAATGCCTTACTGTGGGCTGATCCTCTTACCTTTTGCAGGGTTGCCATCTCCACAGTGTGTTTTCAGGAGAAAGTGGATGYGCTTTGATACTACAAACTGTGCTAATTTCAAAAATTTTAAGGATTTTATGTATATGTAGGTTGATCAACTTTAAAGCTATCTTTTATTAAAAGATGTACAGTGATTGTGTAGAAGAATGGTTAATATGTAGGAATGGCAAAACTAGCAAGCTCACAAACTGCTTAATAAATAGAATGAGGAATATATTATACCCCTTACATTGGCTCTAGATCAGTTAAYGAACTGGTTTTATATCATGCTTCAAGGTCTAACTGCTTCCAGATTAAAAAAGGACTCTGATGGAAGAACTTTAAAGTCAAGGGAAGCTTGGTTCCCATGAACTCTATTTCAAGAATTTATCCCCATATTTCTTTCTCTTGGGAGACTTGGCTGGGTTRCAGGCATTCTGCACCATTACTATGGTAAAAGGTTGAGAGGCAATATCTTCAAAGACAGTAAATCCTTAAAAATAGCCGAAAAAAGTAAAGCCATGCCTGTTGCTTGAGCTTTTCTCCTTTATTTTCTGTTTTGCAGAATACCTGTTGTTTTCGGGAGTCTTTATACAAGTGCCCTGCTTTTAAAAGTGAAAAGAATTTCTTAACTCTTTTTTTAGTCTTCTCTTGCTGAAACGTAGGCAGAATGTATGTCTGATGGAGGACTGTTTTTAAAGTATCTTGTAAACTGTATGGACAAAGGAACAAAAGTCTGCAAAAGATTAACATTTTATTTAATGTTAAATAGTTTATATGTGAATAGTTTCTATTGAAATAGAATCAAGATAAAGTCACTACATGGTGCCCTTCTGCCTTTCTTAAGGTCATCAAGTTATGACAGATCAAACAGTGTGATGTGAACATCTACAAGTGCTCCAAATTAATTCTCTCAGAACTGCAGTCAGCCATGTGTCTATGACTTAAATGTTTCAATCAATATCAATGAACTAAGATCTATCAGTCTTTAAAAAGTGTTAGAGCCTCCTGACAGTTAAAAAAAAAAAAAAAAAAAAACCTCACGCACATTTGCATTTTCACATGTAAAAGAATGTCTTCAAGCCTCTTCTTGCATGTTAGGCTTCTGTTAGGAAATTGGCTGTGTGGTAGTTATGACAGATCAAACAGTGTGATGTGAACATCTACAAGTGCTCCAAATTAATTCTCTCAGAACTGCAGTCAGCCATGTGTCTATGACTTAAA